CCTTTCCCCTACCCCTCCCACTTCCTTCCCCTTTGCCCCTTTTCTTCCTATTTCACATTACCTATTATACATTTTAGTCCTTATTTACACTTTCCCAATCTACAGTTTTTAACTCTAAAGTTTGTTGATCATAAACAAAGAGTATTCTCAGTTTTCTGATCTTGTGCCATTCCAACTTAATAAAGACATTAATGAGGTGGTGCTTTTAAATGCTCCTGTAGATTTACAGATGCTATTCCTCTCTGGAATGACCTTCTTTCCTTCATCATTAATCTGATGACTCATTCTCCTCCCCCTTTTTATAATGAGAATTGAACTTAAGGCATTCACACTGAGCTACACATCCCTAGCCATTTTTATTTTTATTTTTTTTCATTTTGAAACAGCTAAGTTGCTTAGGCAGGATTTGAAATTGTGCTCCTGCTGCCTGAGCCTCCCAGAGTTCTGTGATTCCAAGACTGTGCACTACAACTTGCTGACATGTCATTCCTTAAATTCCACTCAAATGACAGCTCAGCCATCTTCATCTGGTTTACAGACTTTCCCCTAAGCTTTCCCTGCCCCATGCCTTTTTCTTTCATAGCATTTATCATGTTCTACTATAAAAAGTCTAAAATAGTCCCTAATTATCCCTGTCTCCATCATGTTAGAACACCCTCTCTGTTGTCTTCTTACTTGCATGCTTGTTGTCCATGTGGCAAGGTATTGAGTGATCTTCAGATAACAGCTAGCAAGAAACTGAGGATCTCAGTCTCACACACCACAAAAAACATGGACTTGTGGGTGAATGCTTCTCCTGTTGAACTTCAGATGAGACTTCAGCCCTGGATGGCACCTTGATTGCAGTATTGTTAGACCCTAAAACAGAAGACCAGCTAAGTGTGCCCCTTTCCTGACCCCCTGAAATTGTGACATAATAAATACATATCCTTTTAAACTAAGTTTCTAAATCATCTGTTATGGAATTTACTTATTGATTTATTTCACTCTACCTTGGGTTGTTACTTCTTCAGACTTGACATCCTGTCTTATTCACCTTGTATCACCATCAGTTAATACTGCATCTGACATATAGTAGCAGCTAAATAAATTTTGTGAACAGTGTTGTAGTAAAGCAAGTTCACAGGTTTTACAGAAAGAAAATCAGCTGGCATCAACTTTATGATCTTTATTTCATTCAACTGAGTCGCGGCATTTTTTATGTGAAAAACTAAAGAATAAGACTTACTAGAGCTCCACTCAGCCCTAGCAGTTTTAAAATCCTGACCTTAAAAGTAAGTGTTGAGTGAGTAAGGCAGTGAACGTTAGCTAGGCTAGCAGTGAATGAGCCTGAGACAGGAGGACTGCATGTTCAAGTCTTGCCTGGGCAACTAAGTGAGACTCTGTTTTAAAATTAAAAAAAATAAGTGCTAGGGACATAGCTCAGCTGTAGAGTGCCCCTAGGTTTGATCCCCAGTACTGCACAAAACATTATTAATCATATGTTTGAGACATATTTTAGTGGATGACACGTCATTTTTTTCATTATTTTCATTATTTTCATTATTTTCAAATAGTTCTGTATTCTGATATTTTTAAAGTCTGATGTATAAAAGTAATCATGGCAAAAATAGTGGATCTCTGACTTTTAGAAATGGTGACTCAACTAAAAAGAAACCCCCAAAGGATTGAATAGTAATAACACAAAAGTTGGAATGAATTTATGAAAAATTGAAGTCAGTTTTAAAAAGGGCATTTGATGACATGTAGCACAACATTTAACAGCTTTCTCAATTAAATGGACTGAAAACCAGATAACACAATTTTAGACGGGAATTTCATTTTCCATGCTGACAGGAAACATTTGTTTTGTTTTAGCCAGACGGTTTTTAAAAATGCTATTTATAATAGCTTTGCCAAATTAAAAAAAAAAAGAGGTCTACAAAGTCTCATTCATTTCTAGTTTTTATTTTAATCTTTTCAAATGTTTCTTTCCCCTCACTGAATGTTCAGCTGTTAGGAAAGTCATGATTCACTGTTTCAAAGACAGATGGTCAAGGCATTTTTCACTTTCTAGGCCAGCAGATAAGAAGATAATCATTATTAAGCATGTTAGGTAATTCTTGATAAAATCAGTGTATGTATCTGTTGGAGCTACTTTTCCTTCCTCTCCACCCTCTTCCTTATGTGTTGGGAATAAGGATACACCCAGGCACAGATGATACTAAATCTCTGTTACTTAAAAGGAGGTAGATGATGTTATTTTCTTTTATGTAAGATTTGAACCCTCATCTGTCCATGTGTGGACATTTTATTCCTTCTATTTTTAATCTATGCAAACAGACCATCTCTGAAACATTAATTGCAAAAAATAATTAACATTCCTGGTGGTGTCTCAATACAATGTGTGTCTCCCCTGAAACACATTCTGTCCTATCATTCTGCACCATAAGAAAGAGATTATTTTATAACTAAGGGCAGATCTTTTGTTTAGGTCCTCCTTCCCCAATCCCAAATCAATGAACTATGTGTGATGGAATGTCCATAGTATGCTGAAAATTGTGGTATGGTAACTGATAGAATTATAGTAATATATAACTTGATGGAACTCATAGTTTGATTAACCGAGGAGGGCATAGACTAAGAAACAATTTAAACTAATTGTTTTTCTTAAATTACATAAAATTCTAGATTAAGAAAATTAAAAAAAAAACCCAAAACAAAACAAAAACAAAAAAGACTTTACCAAAACTCAAAAAACAATACTTGGCTTCAGTAAGGGATCTAGGTTTTCTTTCTCTCTTTGGAAAATAGTTTAACCATTTTTATCACTTTATTACCAATCTTGTTTCCTGTAGTGTAGATATATTTGTGACTTCAGAAGTCAGAAAGGAAAAATGATAGTGGACATTGTTAGGAAATAAGACTTAAAGGTCATAGAGCCAAACATCAGCTTGCCTTGGCATTTGGTAAATTTAGAAAGCTTACTGCAGTGAAAAATAGAGCTAAACAGTGCCACCACCACATTGATCAGAATTCCTTAAAACAAAACTAAGCAAAATAATAACAAAAACTCCAAATAGTGGAATATGTGCTTGAGCTTCACATCCCAGTGTTAAGAAAAACAGGCCAGGAAATAAGAATTCTGAGGAAGCTAAGAGGAAACATCAAAGAGAAGGAAGTCTTTTCACTCTGTCAAGTGCTGTGACTGAAAAAACTAATAAACACACATGCAGAGGATTTTGAGAGGGATAATACATTTGATGCAAATAGTAAAAGGGAAGTGTGTGTTCTGAGTGACCCTGATGAGAACAAGTAACTATTCCTCATTATTCTCAGGATGTGTGATCAAATATCGGTACAAATTCTTTTATATCCAGATTTGACAGAGTGGATTCACCTACCTAGGGTGGGAACATGGCACTATTCAGAAAGTTGAAAGAATGCATCCAAGTTAGATACCAATGTTTCTTTTCTTTGAGCTGCTGAGTCATGAGGGCTTGGTAACCACACAACTGAATTATAAGCCTCTTCAGCAGCCATAGACACAAGTGGAACACACACTTCTTAGAAAGCCAATGGGGAAAAATATCCAATTCATCAATTTTGAAGCTGAACTGACATGATTCTATGAAAATATACCTTAGGAAAATTTTCAAGATTGAGTTAGGGGCTTCTAACTCAGATAGGTAACTACTCCAATGTCTTGTAATTCCTTCACTGGGACGTTTTCATATCATCTTATCATTGTTTTGTAGTCTATCTCATCCAAAAGTTTAATCTTCAACTAGATAGAGTCTTAGCATATTTTGCTGATCTGAAGGGTCCTGTAAGCAGTCTTGGTTCAAAGTGGGTACTTCATAATTTTTTCCTGATCTAATGAAGGAATGAAGAGAAGTTCTAGAGAAGTGACATAAGCTGTGGGGTTCAACTCTGTCTTTGGATATCGATCTGGAATGGTGAGCTGTCCTTCCCTCAGCATTTGTTGGGGGTGCCAGGGATAACTTCCAGAGGCAGAGTCGAAGAACCAGGGAGATGATTTAATATAGATATGCTGGCCTTCGAGTTTAGACCAGTGATTGTTATGTTTGGGTCTTTGTTTAGGAGAAATGGTGGCTGGCTGTTTTTAGGCTCCAATTTTGTTGTGATGCACATTTATGTAAGAGCCAGATATGAATAAACATAGACCAAAGGACTGTGTGATAGTTAATTGTGGTATCAACCGGAAGGGATTAATAATGCCTAGCAGATGAGTGAAACACAGTTCTGAGTTTGTCTGTGAATGATTGACAAGTAAGCTGAAAACTGAGGAGGAAACACTCACACTGAATGTGGGTGGCACCAACCAATAGGCTTGTAGCTTGGATAAAATACAAAGGGAAAAAGGAGTGTTTCCTTCTGCTTTTTCAAGAAGCTTCTGTCTGGGACTTTTGTCCCAGTCCCTTCAGGCTTCCCAAACAGACCTTTTGGCTTTCAGTTGGATCCTCAAGCTCTTCAGTGTGCAGTTGGCTCTTTTGCATTCTCTGATCCCTGACTCCACTGGTGGCCATTGTAACCTTACTTTGTAAATCCTTTATAAATCATACACATAAATATATATAAATCTGTACTTCTAGTGAACCCTAACTAATACAGATTTTATTACTAGGAGTGACAGTTTATAGAGGTTTCAGTCCACATTTGGCTAGCTCCAAAGCAGGACAGCATGGTACTAGAACATGGCAGAGGAGAGTTGCTCAGGGCATGGCAGACAGGAAGCAGACAGTGACACCAGGGGAAGGAGAAGGAGATATACCCTAAGGTGACACCCAGCAACTCTCCTCTGGCCAGGTTCCACCTCTGAACATCACATTTAGCTATACACTCATCAGTAGACTAATTCAGTTATGAGTATCATGCCTCCATGAAGCAGTCACCTTCCAAAAGCCCCACCTATGAGTCCATGGGGCTTTGAGGGGACATCTAGATGCAAATCACATCAGGCTGCATAACTGAAATTTACAGAACTATTTAAATCTAAAAAGACAAATGCTCTAACTTTTGGTTGAACACCTAAAGTTACATATTCATTTAGGTCCAGATATGGAACTCTATTTGGCTCTCTAGAATCTAAATTTAGTGCAAATTCTACTTTTCAATGGAGTAAACCCCCCTTAAGAAAATATATAAAATATCATTGGTCCCTCTTGTTGCCTTTGCTACCATGTGGGTGCCATGTAGTTTATCCTCTGCAACACCTGTCTGCCATCCACCCTGCTTTGGAGCCAGCTGATTATGGACTGAAACCTCTACAAACTAATATAGATCTTATGGGAAATCCCATAAGCTGATTCTCATCTGTGCAGCTCCTCTGCAATGCCACCCTGCCTTGGAGCCAGCTGACCATGGACTGAAACCTCTACAGACTTTTCATAGAACATAGAGCAAAGTGGACAACACTCAGGATGGACTGTGGAGAGATGAGCAGAACACTCAGAGCAGCATGCAGTGGAGTACCAGGTAGTAGATGAAAGACATCTGACCGACGAGGACCTTTCTGGGCCACCATGCCACTGCCCCCAGTGCCAAGAAGCAGAGCCCCCCCCCAGCGCCAGGGAGGTAAGCCCCACAGGCGCTAGCAGCAGCCCCCCACCCCCCACCCATGATATGAGAAGACATGTAAAAAAGTTTCAAAACCAAACTTCCAGATCACTTAAAGCAATCCCAAAGGGAAAGGAGATGGAACAATCTGATATTCAACCACCAGGATTCCCTGAACAGCCAACGCAAGAGAATCTGGAAAAAATGAAAATACAAATACTTTCTCAGATAGCAGCACAGATTGTGCCCATAGTGCAAGACATGAGCAATAAATCTAGAGAGGACACAGATAAAAAAAT